CATCCCCAGTGAGTAGGCCACTCTGCTGTAACAGCACGCATGTACAAATTTATGATTTTTAAAACTTTATGTCCTGCTTAATGTGATTATGTTGGAAGTGATGGCAGTTTAGGTAGGCGATTGGAGTCGATTGTGAAACCGGATAATTCGATGACCAACCCGAGTAGATGCATGCAACACTCAACAATACATTCCACACGAGAGGCTCCGTTACCGATACCACTAGGTTTCAACTTGATTTTGATGATGACGAAGCTCAGCAGGTAAGGAGAGTCCTCGAGCTGTGTGTTATGAAGGGAAAGCGTGGAGCATCAAGGCTACTGTGAACATCTCAAGCTCCTAGTAAAAGACCTGGCTAGGGGGGGGGGTACGTGAAATGAAGTGGAGGAGGATGTAAGCCTAGATGAGGTAAGACTCTCGATCTAGAAGAATAATATAAGAGGCTTATCTGAAGTTATGTAATGTATATAATCCTTTCTTAGTAGTGTTCTATAGGGCGCTAAGGGACTCCCTTTAGTGTGAGAACCTGGAAAGCCTACAATAATGTGGATCGAGCGACAGGGCGTGTCAGGTTGATTATACTCTGTGCATAACGTATATTAACTGGGCATGTTGTTGGTTACCATTCGGGTCGTATTTTTAAATATCGGCCTTCGAATGGTCCCACCCAAAGTGGCTGAGCGGAGATATTCTATCATGCTTGAGCGTTGACCATTTGTGACGATACTTAATACGCTTTAGTTGAGTAAACGGCCCGGCACGAGCTCATTCTTCCTTCACCGTATAGACCCTTTTCGTAGTAGTATTTAAGTTATCATTGTAGTAGTCGGTGTGGTTTAGTTACCACCTTAGTTCTATCTCTTTTCCCCCAATAACCATCCGTCGCCATTGGGCCCTTTAAACTTACTCAGTGGTTCTTCTGCATTGTGCCTGTAGCTGTTGTCAAGGTCATTAGTGTGGAAGCCAACTCAAGTGAGTGCTGCTGCTGCTGTGGCTCTGGCGGTTCCCTATCTAGATATCCTATTTAGGTAAAGCGCCAAGAGAGATGTGGCCTTTTCCTACATTCGCAAGTCCTCTGAGGCGTTATGGTTGCTATCATGGCCAATCACTCTGTTCTATTGCTGTAAATACTAAGGCAATAGGATCCTATACTACGCTGATAATAGTTTCCCAGTTGGATGATGATGGGTTCATCGATTATCCGTTCCCTAATAGGAGATGGATCCCAGCATTTAACGTCACTGGTTATACCGTACATGTAGGTGGTCATGGAGAATCGATGACGGTAATGAGGTAGGATTTATATATCTATATCAGCAGCCTATTACAGGTTTGGATGCTACCTGATAATTTGAGCATTGGTGCTTACGATGTGTACACTCATGATCCAGTACGGAGTGTACATGATGCAACAAAGTTTGGCGTGTTTTACGCATTGCCGCCATCAGCCAACTGTAAGGACTTCGATAATTTTCCCATGATTGTGAAGTGTTATTCTCTTTATTATCAGCTTCCTGGATACCCTTGCGAACCTCACCATTACCACCGACCCCCAGTAGGAGCTTTTTAACTTCATCACTCGATGGAATTGAATATTTTTTCAGATGTTGAAGAGTCTAATGAATCCCTGCTAACCGGTGCTGTGTTTGCCA